ACTGATTAGGAAATAGCCTACTTTGTTAAGAATTTTCAAATAATGTTTAGAAATAAGAAGAAAAATAAAGAGAGACATAGAGGTGATTCCAGTGAATTTAGAAAGATATCTAAATCTATGAGATGTCATAAGTGTCAATGTTTTGGTCACTATAGAAGTGAGTGCTCTGATAGTAAGAGAAATAAGGGTAAATCTATGAATTTAACTCTCACTGATGACGAGTTGAACTCAGATAATCAAAGTGGGGTCCACTCATGAGGAGAGTTGGAAGTTTATGGCCTTCACTGCTAGGATTAAAAGTGAATCTAATAAGAATGGTGAAAAGAATGAGGAAGTAGATAATGGTGAGGAATCTGAGGAAGCTTTTGATGATGGGGAAGAGAGTCGTGAAGCTTATCAACAATTATTTGAGGAGGATCTTAAGATTAAGAAGGTGAGTAAAGCAATGCTTAAGAAAGTTAATGAACTTGAGTTGGTTAGAGATAAACTTGTAGCTGACCTTTAGGAGTCCACCTTGTGTCTCCATAAATTAGATAATGTGAATCAATCCCTAGAGTCTAAGATTAAAAATCTTACAAGCGAACTTGAGAAGTCTTCTAGGAGAGTGAGTGAGCTGACCTTTGAGAATTGTAGATTAGAAATCCATGTTAATAACCTTTTAAGCGAACTTGAATATTCCAAGTCTCAAATTCTTCTTTTTTTCTAGTGGTTCTCAAAAGTTTGATAATCTTTTAAGGATGAACAAGCCTTCTGGAAATAGAAATGGTCAATGCTATGATAATTCTAATCCTCATGATACTAATACTTCCAAAATCACATTTGTTCATGTTACTATTAAGACTCAGAATGTTGGTAATCTCGTCGGATTGCGTAGGATGTTTTCAAATAGAAATCAATTTCAGGAACCACGTAGATTTGGTCATAGATTTATTCATGTGTGCTTTAATTGTTGTGAGTTGGGACACACGAGACCTAAGTGCAATAGACTTGTGAAAAAAATAGAAATCAGGACATATTTAGTAGAGTTGACTTTCTTACTGATCGGGTGAGTCAACTGACTGTGTTATTAAAGCAATTGACTCAGAATAATTCTGCTTCTAACAAGGTTTGGGTGAAATAGAGTGATCAAAATTTTTTTGAAATTGATCACGGTGCTCTTATAGGTGAGAGTGCTTGTATACCTAAGTGATTAGGTATTTTTGATGCATGCGTATGTTTATTAATTATGATTCATTCATTATTGCATGCATCTCATTTTTGTTTTACTTTTTAGGTAGTTTGATTTTAAAAAAAATAAAAAATTTGAAAAATTGAAGAAAAAATGATTTTTTTTCACTACATCATATTATATGATTTGCTTGAACATAAGTTGGGACCAAATATGAGTTTAATTGATGTGCTATAGCATATTTTTCATTACTTTATTTAGGTTTATGTGGAATACTTTGTATAGATTTTTTCATGTACCATACGCACTACACACACTATGATTTTGTGGGTGAGTCTTGATCACGTAGATTTGGGATGTCAGTCATCTATTGATAATGTTATGTGACCTTGAACATGAAGTAACCTTAATATAGTATACCTAAACTCTAGTATACCTCATTAAATAAAAAAAAAATGTTTTATTTTATACTCTTTTTTGAAGCCTACGTGACTCGAGCAATTAAATCCAATGAGTTTCTTATAACCTAATGTCCTATGGTCAATTGACTTGGAGTTATCAGCCCGAAACTCATTAGAGGTCATCTTATTCGCTTAATGGTGAATAATTTGCATATAAGATGTGAAATATTGAAAAGAAAATTTATATATGCTCAAGAATAATATATATGAAAAATGAGTTTCATTTATAGGTTCTAATATGCACTTTTGGTTTGACTTTCATTATTAGGAGAAAAAACTTATTTAACAGTGATATTTATCATGTTATTTCTTATAAATTAAGATTTGAGATCTTCCTCACAAGAAATTAATGACACATTCACATATGAGTCACTTATAATTTATTCCATTTAGACTCAAATTGAATATGTGAAAATTTTTACTGATCATTTATTATGCTTGTACACGTTATCAACCGCTTCTTTAAATTAATATATATTGTTGATATAGTTCCCTTCGTCATTTGTGACAAAAATGGGGAGAGATGAGATGAGCATTTTTTATTTTATTTTGTCTAATTTAACTGTATTTTAGAGAGACTTTGTAGTAAGGGGGAGATGATATTATTTCATGATAGTATTGGGAGAGATGATGGTATTTTATGTTTAGCTTTTTTGAGTTTTGATATTTTGTGATATTAATGTTTCAGTTGGAGTTTTGATTAACATTTAGTATTACTTTCAATTAAAATAGTATATTTATGAGTGTTGTGTGCAAACAGATTATTCAATATAGGGTAGTTAATGCACGTAAACAGAATCTAGAGTAATCGAATTATTGTGACTTGTTGCAATATTAATCAACAATAATTTCTAATTCCACATTATTCACCTATTCACCACTTTTTAGGTGATTTTAGGGTCGAACACGTTACTTTCAGTTATATAGCTTTACATTCTTTTATGAAGGTTTTATTAATTGTAAAAGTTTATGTATACAAATCCAATTATGTAACATGGATAAATCATGTTCGTTAACTCCGTTGTATATGCTAGTTTTCCAGGTTGTATAATACAATAAAGAGTATATATACTTTTATGCTTTGTATATTTTATTGTTGAAAAATATATTCAATTATTACACCAGAAACCTTAAACGTACATATAGAAGCAAATTAAAACTTTCAGTAAGAGAATTCCATTTGCGAATGACTAAAAATAAGTTATCAGAATAAATACAAATTATCATCCAAAGTAAGAACTAAATTATGTAAAATTAAATAATTCTAAAGCATATGCACAAATAAAGTGTTACTCGTATTTATACGACACTTAATTTTGAATTACCTTCCTTCTTCCATTGCTCATTCTACATGCTATACCCATAAACAATAAACATATTCAACTGAAAAAAATCAATAAATAACAAATAAAAGGCAAATCAAACACAAAACATTAATGTTGTGTTTGATAAGCCTAATTTTCCAAGGAAAATAGAAAATGAATTCTATTTCTCACTTTTTGACTTGTTTGATTGACAAAATTTGCCATGAAATTGTATTTCCTTACTTTTGTCACATCAACCTATTTTCCATGTTTTTAAAGAATTAAACTTTCTTGTCCAAGTGGTGAGAATCAATTTTCTTAGTAAAATGGAATTGCTTTATTTTTTAAAAAAAAATTATTATTATTATTATTTTTTTTTT